CCCCGACTTCCCGATTGATGTAGAAAAAGTACATGAATAAAAGATGGCTAACGCAACAACGATGTACAATAATTAGGAAAATTCAATTACGTCCAAAACTAGGGATTAGTGTAAAAAAATATAGTACAAAATATTATGTTTAAATTACAAAAGCTTTGGAACAAAAAGGGCTATGGCAGTGAACCGTAAATCAAACAAAAGTTCATATTGTGTAGAATAGACTAGGGACAAAAATAAATGTTAATGTTTTACAATCTTCGAATTAACTGAAATAATGTTCTAAAAAATAGTTTCTGTAGTTTGTCAGGGATTCTTATTTCTCTGTTCACATCAGATGTTGAAGACATACACAGCTACTGATTTTAAGGATTTACTTACCGCTACAAGATTGTCAACATCGTACGGAATCCTTGCGATGGACTACACTGCAAAGTCTTGGATGGTTGGTTGCTAACAGACGTATACTAAGTAAGACCGGTGTCAGACAAGGTTGCTTACCCTCACATTTCCTCTTTCTCCTGGTGGTCGACTGGATTATGAAGACCTACACATCTGAGGGGAAGCACGCAATTCAGTGGACAGTTCAAAACCAATTAGACGATTTGGTCTTCGCAGATGACCTAACCCTCCTATTCCATACACACGAACTAGTGTAGAAGCGGCCTCTGCATCAGTAGGCCTCAGTATACACAAGGGAAGAAGTAAGGTCCTCAAATACAACAAGGAGAACACCAACCCAATCACATTTGATGGAGAAACTCTGGAAGATGTGGAATCTTTCACGTACCTGGGAAGCATCATTGATGAACAAGGAGGACCCGATGCAGACGTGAAGGCAAGGATTGGCAAAGCAAGAACAGCATTCCTACAGCTGAAGAACATATGGAACTCAAAACAACTGTCAACCAATATCAAAGTCAGAATCCTCAATACGAACGTCAAGACAGTTCTACTGTACGGAGCTGGAACTTGTAGAACTACCACAAACATCATCAAAAATGTGCAAGTATTTATAAACAATTGTTTATGCAAGACACTCAATGTGCGTTGGTTGGATATCAACCTGAATTTTACTGGATGGACAAAAGGAATTATTGGACGTTTCCTCAAAGCACAGCTCAATGATGTAGAGGTTAAAAGTGCATTTCGGTGCCAACTAACTAGTCATGAAGTTAATGTTCATCCAGAAGAGGCCTGGGATCACATGCATACATCTGGGGATACATTAGTAACATCATTCAGTAAATTAAAACAGGTAGTTAGAAATAACGTGTAGATTTTAGTAGTATTCGCCGAATTTGAAAGTGCTCGTAAATCCATTCCATCTAATTCTAAACACGACAGAAGAGAAGACAACTTAATCGTAAACTGACAAAAGGCCTAAGAAATGATTGTGATCACCGAAATTGAAAGAGATGGGAAAGTTATCAGTGGTAAAAACACTAGACATCTATTCAGACTTTTTGAAGAATCAGGTACAGAAAAGTCTTCTGTTAGTGAGACTATCTCCGAAAAGATGGAACTATGATTCACTCAGCTAATGTGAATGATAGGTGAGGAAAATGGATAGGATATTCCTGTGGTATTTGCATGAACTAATGACTCTCGTGTACTAGATTCCCTTCAAATACAATACTCTTGTTTGTGCCAACCTATTTTCACTGGCTTTAAATTTCACTATTGCGGGAATTCTTAGTTAGCACAATAATCCGAAAACTCCCAATTTTCATAATTTCCCAGAACAGAGTGCCATGGAGAAAGCTAGTAGAAGGCCTATGCTCCTCCATAAGGGGCAACAGGAGTACGTAATTGAGTCAGTGTTTCAAGAACTTTATAATCGACTTGTTTTGATCACTGCACAGCAAGACGCACCCAGTAGTTATCTGGTGCAGATGCTTAACCGGACGCTCTGATTTAAGTGTTCCCAGCAAAATTAGTGAGGTCAGTATCGTTGTCAAAGTCTTACAGAACAATTCATTTTAGGGATTTATTTCCCTTTACAGGTTCGTATTCTTTGAAACGGTTCTATTAGCTGTGTGAAGGAAACAAACACCGGAACAGTTTGTATATTGTGTAACTATTGCCAGCTCTTTATATAAGGTCTGGTTCATTTGTATCTCCCCTTTCCCAGCTAACGCTAAGATTAAGCAGCATAGGAAACACGTTACAACGGATACTCAATCTTATCACGTACATTGTGTCATACATGGTAATTAGTTTTTGTTATTAATAGCGTTTTTTACAGAAGGCTTTGTACTGTCCAGTACTATGTCAAGACCATATAGGTTGTCCCGGTATCTGGACAGACTAATTTATTCATTGTTCTCAAGCCACATTTTGAACTTATTGAATATTCGTTTATTAACCCTTATTGTTTTTATATGATCGTATGTTATTTATTTGACCATAACAACAATGGTACAGAGTCAACAAATACACATGCCCCACACAATAACCATGAGGCCAGTAGTAGTCATCACTGATTTGTGTGAGGGCTGTGATATTGTCAGAGCGCCCGAACCTCGACCTTTTGACCTGAAGGTATAATCCACAAGGCAGTGGAACAACATAAGAAGATGCAGTCCCAAGGTAGCCGGTGACCTATAATAGGTTTGTACGCCATTTATTCACTCAGGATCCTGGAACCCATATGCACCATTGGTCAATTGCTTACTCTATTCATTACGAGCCTGTAACTTATTTTCGGTCTGACTATAAATATTAAGTTATATTTGGTCGAATCAAATTGGCTCACAGGCCTTCTCCACTAATCGTCATTTCGTTTCGCTCTTTTCTTCGTTTCTCTGGATCAACGATTGTATGAAATACATGTATTCGAAATCTATTATTGTATTTGAATTATTTAATTGTTATTCACTAACGGAAGTTAAGTCGATAATTACATACGATGATTGACGGCATGTATGTCTCGATAGCAATTATTTATACAATCCAAATGGAGTCAGATATATGGCCACTAAAAAGCATTCTATCATGATATTGAAATTATAATAATTGGTGCTAAATCGAACGTTTCCCCGCTGCCGGGTAACAGAGAAATGTGGTAAAAAGAAGCAGAGCAAGCCTCGTACGGATTAAATATACGAGATGATATACAAAACCAGTTTGAAAAGACGTCTGTACCGACGTAATTATCTTTTCGATGGTACCTCATTTCAAGACACCCTGTAAGCAAACAACGCTCAGAAAGCATTGAGTGATTCATCCTATAGGAGTCTTCAAGTGCTTTCGACCACCTAACACCTGTATATAGAAGTGGGTTGACCAAAATCACACTGCCATAACAACTGCATCTCATTATTACTTTATCACTGATTTTGCAACACCCATAACTTTTCCAATTGCGCGATTTGTTACCTCAAACCCTCGGTTGTTATTGGTTACACAATTACTCTCCCCATTATTATTTCCTCAAGCCTCACTTCACTAATGTACTGTCAAAATTTTCATCTGCCAAAACATACTGATTTACATTTTATTTATTAACCTACTGATGTGATGCGCATTCCGAGTGCTGCTTTTAATCTAAACATATTTATGCGATTATCAACTTTAACAGCAGTTGTATTTTTATTCTCTTTCAAACGGGTGACAAGTCATGAGTGGAAATCAGTTCAGTTCATTTTACAATTCATGTTGGCTTTAGGTTACAATTCCACTCAAATACTAGCCATTGGAATATATTTCAAAGTTCTTATCGAACTTTCGATCTATTTTTATCTTATTTCTCAAGAATTGTTCATCTTTCTTAATTTTCATACAATTAACTGTTAGAAAAATGTATTAGGCAAATCCATTCTAATGTACAGATTAAATAATGTCATTTAGCCCACGTTTCTCATAAAGTCTGAACAGCTGGATAGATTCCTCATTTTGAAAGTTCAGGAACTTTTATTTTGGTTTACTAACTTTCCTCAAGTTTAACAACAAATAATTCCTACACTTAGGCGATTATTAGGATTCACTGAGATATTTAGTCGAGCATAATTTCAAGTAGTCTACAGACAACTAATGAAGAACAGAATTAGCTATTGATAGCACACATCAAAATAATAAGCAAGACAAAACACACTAGGTTTGAAATAGCGTGTGCCTACCTTACATTTAGCCCGTCGGATACTTCACAACCTGAATGTACTTCTGATCATCCGTTTATATTCTTTATGCAAGAGTTAAGTTTATGATAGAAAAAATAGTATCTTCTTGAAACTACTACGGAGCTTTTAGAAATATATGTGTTAAGAAGTCTTTATTAGTACAAAACTTTATCTTGTACATTTTTCTTTTACACCCATTTGGTTATAATATAGTGTGCATACCATCAGTTGAGGTCACAGTACTTAACCTATGTTAAAAGCATGACGTATTGTACTTTTTACTGTCGTTTATCGGGATGATATTTACCGTTCAACTGAAAACTTATATATAACAGAAAATGAACTATCTTATCAATCATATGTGGACAACAAATTACAATTTATCAGTGTACAAGAAATAATCTGCGGCCATAACAGTAATACATACAATTTTTCATCATACACATAAAATCTCAACCTAATGTTTTTACACGAAAATCTGAATCGTGTTAAGATTTGAATCAAGTTGTAGTTTAAATTGATGATTCCTTTGAATTTTCCTCCATCTCCAATTACCATCAATCTTTCAGTGATAAAACTCTACCAGTAACCGTTAAATTACAAGTTAAGTATCTTGAAAAATATCACAGTCAATTCAAGTGATCACATAAAGTTCTAGTTAAAGCATGTGTGCTTTAACTGAAAATTTTATGTGTAAACTAAAGTACATTATAGAGAACAAATCACAGAGATTAAGAGAAAATGTTCGAAAAAACAAAACTGGAATAATTAACATACTATTGTGTTAAAATATAACCAGTTTTAGAGCCAATTATTAAGGGACAGTGAAAAGGGATAGAAAAGTGTAAGAAAGGTAAACAAGAATACATATACAAAAGAAAATCACAACTGACCATTACTAACAATATGGGCCAATGATTTTGTTCGTTGACCTTCAGACTGGATAAGTGTTTTCCCAACTTCTTCAATTAAACAATCAGTTTCTGTTATATCAGTGCTCGAACCAACATTTCGTATCATAAGTGGACTTGGATCTGTGTTGATAACATCGAGGGGGCTCTTAACACCGTTACTATTAGCACTAACTGGGTAACTTTTAGCTGTTAAATTTGCATACTGTTCGGCTTGCTCCATTGTAATAGTCAATTTCGCTAATGTAGCTTTGTATCTAAGTACTTCATCAAACATACGACAACGTTTGCGTAAAACGCTGAGTTCCGAGTCCCGGTTGAGTAAATCACGTTCTAAACGTTGGAGTTTTACATTTTGTTTAAATATTAATTCATTAAGATTGTTTACTTCTGTTTCACGTTTTACATGTACTTCCTAAAATTGAAGACAAAATGGTTAGAAATTCAAGTAACAACCATCAGATAAAGTGTGCTTAATTCTACGGGAGGTCGTTGTTTAGCACATACATAAGTGATAATTCAAGTTTAAAATACTGCTAAGTTTTAAATCAATATATTATTGCTAAAATGATTGCCAAGATTTTAGAAGTTCGGATCTCAATCAAGAGTAAAGATTCTCTTTTAAAGTGTTAAGTCACGTAGCTTTGAAATATTTTTCCATATAAGATTGTTTCATAACCTTAGCACAACTGTCATGGAAGATGCAAAACTGAACTAAAATGAATTCCAACACGAATGACAGAGGGGAATACCCCCAGAGATAACAAGTTTAGATATTTCATAAGAAAAACCAACAATACCTTTAAAAACTACTAGATTTACTTAGGCTACTGACAAGCAAACTATGAAATATTTACGTGCATGGTGGCTAAAGATGATTAACCAATTAATACAAATCTAAATAAATGCCATATTTCCCCACGAATCACTAACCCTTTGAAGTGGATTGTTGAAAAATAAGGGTTTACCACGCCATATAAAAACACTAATATCCAGTAAAACGATGATCAAATATGAACGAAGTCAAATTAAGCCTTATTGTACACAACCTATTGTGCTGCAAAGCATATATTCCTATCGTAAATCATATTTATTAAATGACCACATCATTGTTTTAGGGTGTGAATTACAACTCCACTGACTAAATCTTTAAATCACTAGTAATGTACGTTGTTTAGTGGTAGTCATTTAAAGTGTATAGTTTGATTCAAAAATTCGAACTCCTACTACATAGCCCTTCGGTCACAAGTATCATCACTAGTTCAGCTGTGTTAAATAGGACTCCACAAATAAATCGGTCAGTGAGAAGTAATCAATTTTATCTGGTCATTATTACTGATGCAGACACTATACTACCTGGAGAACTTTATTTATTATTAGACTTCTGGTCGCTTTCATTTACAATGTTGGGTTAGTGGTTAGAACATTTGGAGTTTAACTAGTAAATCTAAAATATGAATTTTACCCCACTTAATTCAGTATGGATAGATTGGTAATAATGAGACTTCACAAGTTGATCCCAATCTGTACTCGACAAATGAGTCGTAGTATTTAATCATTGTATTATTATCTACTATTGAATAACCGACTGATTTGACAAGACTCTACTGATTTGTGATGACCAAAAATGAGCATGAAATATTCACCTAGATATGTTATAATGAACCATAATACCTGCATAACTATGTTGAAGTCTTCTTCCTTTTTGTTTAACTCTTCCTCCTTAGTTTTGAGTTGTATTTCCAGTTCCTTAATCCTAGTTGTTAAAGCGTTGAGATGACGATTAGCTTCCTCAATGTGTGTTTTAGGCTGTGTACCATTGAACCACATCTAAAATAGAAGTATCTTTTAAAAAAGGCAGAAAATTATAGCATACTGTACGCAATACACGCAAGCCTATTTTATGAAGCAGACAACAGTCAACCAGATGAATACATGGGATGTATATACAATTTTTAATGAATAGATGAAAGAGTTTGAAAAATTCAGCCGTCATAAAATAAATGAACGGGTTTTTACATTGAAGTTCGGACCGCTAAGAGGGAACTAATTTGATGAAACGATCAGTTTATTATTATTTCCATTAGCATTAACTCATAAAAGCTATGAATTTCATTGAAATCACGAACCGATCTAAGTTAGGTCATCGTTGAAAACCTGGAAGCACTGGACGTTTGTTTTGTTCTGGTCTGGGACTTCCCAGGAGTGTTTACCAACGGACCCACACGTGGGCGTCGAATCCAGGATCTTGGGTTTCGTGTGTAGACACATCTAACCGCTAGACTGCTGAGTCGACATCCAAAGGTGTCAATGTCCTGCTGGCAACTATGACTGACTTCGAAGCCAATACACACTGGATTCATATATCAAGGAAACACAGCACAAGAGTTTCGAGCTCCCGTTTCTATGTTGAATAACAGATTTAATCTTTTATTGGCAAAACCCTAAGAAGGTGATAGTTGAATAACACAATAAACGACATATTAGGCCCGAACATTTTTACATGGGAGTAGTAATTCAGAAATTTTAGCTTGCAGTCTTCGATAGTATGACAATATGTAATTGATTATTTGGAAGCGTTTGATTTGTCTATAGTGGAGGTCATTCTAGACGACTGATGACATTAATGTGTTGTTTCAGACCACCTACATTCATTACATAGGCTAGAACTAACAAAGAGCTAAACACACCTATTCTCAACGGTTACACCTCATAGGACATTAAACGCACTAAGATGGTAAAATAAATTTAGGAATTAGATTAGATAATGATCTAGAGATCAAGAAGAGCGCGGGAGGTGGCATCAGATGTAAATCCAGCTAGTAACAAAGGGTAAGATACATAAATTGTATGAAGGAATAGGAGGGAAAAAAGTTGTGACTATTTGGTTCTGTAAACTCGAGTGCTTTTACATAATTATATTATATTATATTATTATATTAGACGCAGGGTATTAGGGAATGGTGGTAAATCAGTTGATGAGGTTGTGAATCTTCATCGACTGAGATGGTTGGGCCACGTGTTACGCATGCTTGAACACCGATTAACATAAAACGTAATGCTGACTGGTGTTGGGGATGGTTGGAGGAAAGTTAGGGACGGCCAAACCAAAACGTGGCATCAGTGCTTGAAGTCACTAACTTCTAGTCTGAGCCATGTTGGTAGATGCAGGCTACTTGGTTGGGGTCCGCGTGACTATCGTAACCAATGGTTGGAGACTCTTGGTGACATGACTCAGAATCGTTCGCAGTGGCGTAGCTGTATACATTCTTTGTCTTCCTTTAAACTAAGAGATTAAAACCGCCTCATATCTTTCTTCCTACGAACAAATTCTTTCTTCCTGTACTGTCTTTATTTGCAATCTTTCATTTATACATTACTACTGCTGGTATAGCTACTACGAATTCGGTGTTCATCTTGTTGTGCTAATGAGGTTTGACAACTTGGACCGATGCATATATGTGCCTGGTCCTACGTTGTAGCTGACTAACTGACTGACTAATATTCGGCTCAAAAAAGTTAGTGAACTAGTTTAATGATGAAACTCTTAGCTGGATTAGTTAACTACGAGAAACCCAACGAACCTGTATTACATCTCAAAGCCGGTAAATCTCAGAAGCTATGTGAAACCGAGCATTAGATGTATCAAGTAGTTATAACTGATATATGAAGGTTCATTAGTTTGCTCTATATGAGTTATATTGTTGAGGACAGGGCCAATTAGAGAAAGCTAAGCAGTGACTAAGCAAAACGACGGAGTTAGTATACGTTAGGAAAACAGCGTAAAATATCCGCATAAAATTGCCCGATATGCTTAAAAATGATTCTTGAATTGGAATAATTACAAATGCATATAAACAAAAACGACTCAGCAGGAAAAATTATCAGCAAAATGGATTCTTAGTGGAGATACTTATTTTGTGACTTCAAACTGGGATTTTCGGAACGTTGTCTCAAACGTTTCGGCCACGGCTTCCTCACCAGACCATTTTAAGTGCATTTTACATAGTAACTAACAAGTTTATAAACGTCGCTCCAACAAATCCAATAAATTAGTCACCAGATCCGTTTGTTTTACGCATACATTTTTTCCATCTTCATGCCTCGTTTTATCTACTCAATGAATCAATTTTAGCCTATTCCTTTGTAATTTCCCTCAATCCCCTCCATCAACACGCTAAATTTGTAAATGGGATCAACCTGAAGTCTAGAGATATGAAAGCTGCTGGTTTAAACATTGCAAGATAGAGAAAAATTAAATACCCACCAGGCTTACGAGACCAGTAAGACAGCTTTTTGTTGTAAAAACGGCAGAAAACAAGAATTAGATGAACGTAACATATTAATGTAATGCACAAATACTTGAAAGCAAAGCAAACGTTCTTGTGATTTGAAGCCATAGAAGCATCATGTTAAATACTAATGAAAGTAGGAACGACAAACTTTCCTAATTTAAAGTAAAACTAAAACTTGAATGTATGTATCTACATATTTTGAAACAAACAAAACAGACAATACTTCTTTACAGACGACTTCGAAAGTAGCGCAGGAACCAGAATCACCGCGTCATTAAATGATCCAAATGTTAATGCATAGAGTAGAAATAGTTTTAACTTTACGAACTTAAATGTCTTGTTACAGTGAATCGCTGTATTTTTGATACAGGAACCTAGGTATATTTAATCAGTGACACAGAATGATGAGCAAATTAGGATTTTGTTCTGAGTCCTTACTATACATCAAGGCATGAAATATAAGTTACTCTAGTTTAAATTGTCGTTTTTTGGTACTATTCTGAGCGGCTTAGTTCGCTCCATGGATTTTTAACTCAGAAGCACGTTCTGGGTTAAAAGAAAGTCACATGTTGTCGGTTGTAGCGGTAATTAAATCCCCGAAAACAACAGTACTCTAAGTCTTCGACACTGGATGCTGACTTCGTTAGTCTTAATAAATTTACCGAGCAGAAAATGCTCTGTCATGCATCCGCACCAATTCAAAAGTGAGTAAGTCGTGCTCAACCTCTCCTGCAACCACTAACTAGCTTAGATTAGTCAATTTCGATAAACCTATATTTTATCAAGTATATCTTCCAGCCTCTTTGCTTCTGACTTCTGATTTCACTAGGTTGGAACGTTTCGATAATAAAAATTTTTACCAGTTAAGGTGTTTTCAGACTTAAATACCTGTGGCACCTCTATGATCTTGTCACGACACTGTAAGAATGTTAACTTATATGTAACCAAGTACGTTGAATTATCTGGAATGTATGTCAATTCTACGAGTTGCTTCATATAACATTGATAATACGAAATGGTCTTTCACGATGGTCCCCAAGCATTCCTCACGATTGTCGTTCCGTTTAGTAGAAGATTATCTCCTGAGGAGAAGCATCACTGCAACGGCAAATTCAAGTTGGATGTGGTTGAAATGTGAAGAGTGTGTTTGATGAACAAACCCCCTGTCAGCGATGTAGGAAACCTGAAGTTTAACTCACTAAACGTTTGCTCAAACACTTGATTCCGGTTTAGATCAATCAAAAAATGCCTCCTCTGGTAGTATCTTCATTCTCTCAATTTGTGCAATAGTTTGCTTTCAGTTGTTATTTCACCTTTATCTTATCCCTGGTTCATTAGAACTTGATGAACAGTATAGGAAACGCTACCAGTACTCAAAATAACTAACTCTCTAATCTCATGAGGTCCAAATAGCTCAACAAGAAAATCTTATTTTCATCAGCAACACCATTTCTCGTGGTTTTTGCCTAATATAGAATACCATGTCGTGATATCCAGAGACTATGACCATTCCAACTACTATATGGAACAAACATGATTGTAAAGATGAAATTTCATGATGAGACTAGAATAATACAGAGTTCATGACGTGCAACTCATGATTTCTTAGAGGTTATACTAGATCTTAAAAATGTTGAAGGACTCTTTGACGATTAACCATCTGTCGTCGAAAGTATAAAATAGTTATACATGATGGATGACTTTATTGCGTGTTTGTTTCACTTTTTAAGGACTATGGCATCTAGTGAGGAATATCCTTCGCCATCAAGAAATCTACCACTTCAGTTGTCGGCTAAACGGATTTCCAAAGCTCGTAAATCTTGTTCCGGAGATCACCAAAATTGCAGTCCGGTTAGAAAAAATCATATTGACGACTCAAACAACATTATCGTCACTCCTTCCATTGATAGTCGAGAACTTGATCGTCTAAAATTCACTAACCCAGGTAGACAGATGGAAGAACTAGAAGTCGGTTGGTCCGAAGCAAATATGACACGGAGTGTTCGCAGACAAATGACCGTTAAATCTGGTCACAAATCATCAGAGTAAATTAATGTCTTATGATAGTCAATTTCCATTGTAATTCTGAGCCACTAACAGTTTTATTTTTTTTAGCTTCAGGATGTGTTGTTGTATACATTTGATTGGCATAAACGTTTTATAAATTTAAAACAATTAGTCCCTTTGATAAATTTTGATAATGCAATGAGAAGACGTAGTTTATCAGAATTATGTGATATACTTGCGCAATACATTTCGAACAATCTGATCACACACATAAATTTTTTTAAACACTCTACGCTTGTGTTTGTATGACTACCCCATAACAAGAATGAGGGAAATTATATTATTCATTTGAAGACCATTTAACTCATCCAATATCCTTCAATATCTGGATACTTTATTATTGGACAATCGTCTTCTGGTTATTGTACAACACTTTAAAATACAATATTTTTGGTTTTCTTCGTTCATCATGAATCAATTCATTGTTTTCGAATTATGCTCTTTGAAAATATCGCTTTATAAACCCAAGTGTTTTGAATTTTGCATTTCTGGAAATCTAGTTGTATGTACTATGAGTCGGCTACTGTTTAATCAAATGAATGTCAATGCAGTGACTAGGTAGATAATCTACCGGGTCTGGGATCCGTTGTTTGTTGAACTATTTCGTCCTCATATTTCATCAGTTGGTTGCTAACTCGTTCTTTTCTTATTGACCGATGTGATTGCAACTGTCCGAGAAAACTGTATTGGTCATTCTGGCATTTGTTCGCGCTCAATATTAACTGTTGTTAGTGGTTTTATCTCCGTAAATTATTGTTGGGTTCACTCGGATAATGCACACAAGAGCGATTGGAGTCAGACTGTCTTATCTCCAGATTTTTCAAAATATTACTTACGTGTATTTTACTAAATTTAAATCCAAGGAAGTGTTCAGCACAAACCAACATTCCACTGGTCGACCTTTTCTCTGACATGTTATCCAAATGTCATACCTCCACAACTATTGCGAAAAGGATTTCGACCACTCTTCGTGTCACTGTATTCACACTGACTTCCACCGTATCCTCCAGAAGTCATGTTTCCCTGCTCACCTTGTCCAAGTTCACCGAAACCGCCCTGTGCAGTTTAATTTATGCCTCTACATTTCCGTTTCTTGAATGCACTATATCCGCCTTGACTAATTTAACCTCCGTTTACAGAACCACTATAACCTCATGCAGGACCCAAAATACCATTATGACTAACACAGGCCACTGGTTACAAAAATGGACGGCCGATCATTTCTCGTTAATCATATTCGAGAGGTGCGTTTCCACTTGTTCCATCTTTGGAACGAGGTCCTCGATCACGAATTTGAGGATGTGCCCACTACTCATGGTTCCCATGTCCTTTAGCTTTCCTTCAACGTAAGTTTGTCAGATTGAATCTAAAATTTATCCTCATCAGATTTGCTATAATTCTTTATGAAAATTAGAAGAACAGAATAGAATGCAATATCCTTACTATAAGTTATCAGGACCGTCCATAATATATTCCAGTAGTCATGAGTAGACCAGCTCTGAAGTCAAAGTTAGCAGAATGGACGATATTGTACGTGCATTTCTGATGAAGTGCTGGATTACCACCATTTGTATGCATCGAGCAATTTATTGTGTTGAATCATCTACATTACTCTGACGGGTCCTATGCGAAAGATATAAAACAAAATTTCGCTTTAAAAATGATTGAAGCATCCAGATTGAAGTATTCAAACGTTACACGTTAATAATTTAAAATTTTATGAAATAAAGAATTATGGCAAGTTTGGTTCGTTTCTACAGACTCCGTGACAATGAGAAAAGTGTATACTATTTTTCATGACATACCAAATCACGATCCAGAGGGCAAAATGTGAGTCGTCGAATTATGAAAATTCAAAACTAAAACTTTAAATAAATTGACAAACAGATATGTTGGTGTACGACCTTACTATGGATAATCTTAGGATAATTATTGGACAGTTCAGTGTGCCTCATGAGTACAATAATCTGTCAGCTGACCCGAATATCACGTCGCTAAACTAGGTATCATAAACTCACTCTCACCAAATATTCATCCAGTACTACAGGTTAATACAAAATGTCAGTGTTCAATAGATTGTAATTAAAACTGGATAACATTTTTGGTCTGCATCCGTACAACTTGGGGTCCTAAATAATTTTAGAGCAAAGAATACTATCACAATGACAAAGCTTCTAATCTCGCTATCATGAAGCACTAGCACGTATTTCAGACATTTATCCGTAAAGACAATCTGAGATTTCTGAAATATGTCTATTTAAATCAGTCTATAATGAACAGAGACCAGTGCTTTTGAAAGGCTATAAAAATGATCCTGCCAACGACGTGATTACAAATAACACTTAATTACAGAATATCAACGTTTTGTGTTACCAGTACCCCAGTTATTTATGCAACTGTTCATTAAATAAATATCAGAATCCTGGCCCAAAATGACGGTACACAGATTAAGTAAGCACCTGTGATTTAAAGTCGTGTGCTTTAGTGAGAACGTATTAGCTAAGTGTTTACACGAAGAAAGCTATCACTATCATTGTAGAAATGTAACTAGTCGACTTTCAACAGTATAATGATACTGTGAACCATTAAAAAACCATTATTTTCGTTTCCTCACGAGGAAAGTAATAGTTCTGCAATTATTACCATTAGTAGTACACCAGATGACGGAAAAACCATTTACGACTAGGAAAGCCTCAAACGACATCGATTCAAGGCCTCAGTGATACAAAAGAAACTCAACGTATTTAACTGACCAGTAACGACGGTGACGGCGCTAACTTTTCGGCTGAACAATACTCTCGGACATTTCGACCACGCCCACATCAATTATATTGATGAAAGCTTCATCTGCATCTGCACAGGACTTTCCGAAGTGAACGTGAGCGCTGACTTGGTGTACCGGAAACTGCAGCACCTAAGAATAAACACTTCTCCTGGCCCGAATATGGTTCATTTAGCTATACTGAGGGAAGCAACTTCAATCCTGGCAACACCGCTTTGCGTGGTGTTCACATACGCGCTACGCCGAGGCAAACTACCGTAAATTTGAAAGCTGGATCACATCACATCAATTTTCAAAAGTGGTCGACGCGGCAAACCTTCAGGTTACCGACCAGTGGCCCTTTTCTATATACCTTCGAAAATTGTGGAGTCCTCGACGGTATACACGACTATTTATTATCATTAAACCTCTTTTCACCCCGACAGCATGGT